TGGTCAGTTTGGATGTGTCCGGAATGACTATTCTGTCATAGCATTTTTCGAAAAGTTGTCTGACTTCCTCTAAGTCTGCCGGTGGTTCCGGACCTGCCTTTTCTACCCCCTCACCTACCTCCTCTTCTTCCTCATCAGACTCCTCCTCGGCCGGCCACCAAAGGGTTCTCGGGTATTGATTGCTTTTGTGATCTTTAGTGGGGGTTCTTGGCTCTCTTCTTTCCGGATCAAAACGGGCGTCTTGTGAGCTAAGCCTGGTTTCCTCTCTCCCCTCCGTTTGCGTGACTGATCCTACGCCCGTGTGCTGCTTTTTGTTGCCGAAAGTAAATGCAAACCTGTTCTCCTCACTCGATTTGCCTTTATCGTTCATTCCTTGTTTGTTGCTTGATGAGCTTTTTTCCGCTTCATTCTGTGACATTCTCCAAAACGGTGTAAAAGCACGCCAATCCTTGACCCCAAAACCGCTCGTACCGTCACTTCCACCACTAGAGGCAACAGTCCCAGGATTCCCGTTTAGCACCATCCCATCGAACGGGTTAGCTTCAGTCCCCATCTTTGTTCAGAGTAGGTTTGTTCGTTATAGTGCGTAGCCTTGTTGTAGACTAGTGACACGTCAGCATATACCCAGATAGACTTGAAGGTCGTCCAGAGTTCCCGAGATCTTGCCAGCGTTGTTCAAGATTGAGTAGGTATAAGGGTTTATTGGTCTGCTGTCCTGGACTTACGAGCAGCATCTAAGAAGTGCCTAGGCATCAAACATCCCACCTGCCATGTATAAGGCCTGTTTCCAGGCTTTATGCATATGCTCCCCCTCCGGGATGACCTCTCATCCAAAAAAAAGATCTTCACACAAAAGTGCACAGGGCGGGCTGAACTTCGAGTTTTGGTGCAGGCCGCCCTAACGCTGCGCCTGACTTCCGCCAGCGCGTCCGTGATCGATCAGAATACACTCTGTTGCTTTTTTTTTTTTTTTTTTTTTTTTTGTATAGATCCTTGTTCAGACTGCCCCACTTCACAACTGGCCGTAAGGTATGTTCCCACCGTGCACTACAATTACGAGTTTCGCAGTCAAGTCCGGAATGGTACCTGAATAAGATCCGACCGTGAGATTCTTTTTGTCCGCCCTTATTTAACGGCCTGAGTTTCGCCGATGACTCCGTGATGGGACCCCCATGCTATGCCAGACTACGGCAGTCCTATCCCGTATGCTTTCTTGATACAGTACTTATATCCTCTCCCCGTTTATAGCCCTAAAGCCGTCTAGGTTAGAACCTACTTCCATATTTCGAGGATGCTGCTTGTTGCATACTGGAGCGCGCTGAGCTTCCCGAATAATCCAGGACTTCAACTAATGTCTGAAAACGTATCTAGACCCCGTCCTTCAGCAAACGCTCACGCCTGTGGCTATCCGATCTCTATGTATGCAGAAGAGATATTAGTTAGTATTCAGGGCGTTGGCGGTGTACTGAACAGGAAACAATTTGTGAATGGGGAGAGAATATACCTGCAACTCCAGTTTTCATTTCGTCGCCTTTCACGTACACATTCACTCCACCGCCCTGATTCACTGTACTCGTCCTCTTCGAGTCAATTCTTCACTTCTTCCTCAAACAAAAGGTACGGCTGCAGAAGCCCAAAAAGGAAAGCACTCCAAAAAGGACCAGCGTTTCCGCCCTAGGGCGAGATCTTCCATGGGAAGGGCACGAAGTGCCACGCGCTCTTCAAGTCGGCATGTTCGATGTATTCAATACTTTACTTTAGACACATTCCCTCACCCACCAACTATCCTCCGCAAGGGGAACGAACTCACTCAGTAACGTCCAACGTGCATCGTGCAAGTAATGCACAGTCGTCGTGAGAGGAAACCGTCTCGCCCGTGCTTTGCGCGCCGGGCTATGGCGGCCGAGTCCTGTTTTCTAACCCTATCTCAACTAGCACAAACACTGCGTCGCATAGTGCGCTTCGGCGCCGCTACCCAGGTCCCCCTCCCCTCTGTTCAACTCACCAACTTTAACATTTCGGTGTTTAGTGAGTTGGAACGGGACCACCACCTCTGTGCTGGAGAGAGTGAGTCTCCTCTCAGGGGGCACTTGGCAAGAGTCGTGACGACGTCCACACTCTATAGTCGTTATCTGGTGGAGGTCTCAGGATTCCTACCTACCTTAGGGTAGCATCGTACCCCCGAATACAACTTTTATGGTCATTATAGCTGTATTTAGACTGAAAACATGGCCCAAATACAGCTATAATGAGCATAAAAGTTCTATTCTGTGGAAGAAGGCAGTCCCCGGCGAGCACCGACGGCACTGGGGCGCGCGATTCTCTTGTCTGTATTCCAATGGTGTCTATTGTCCCACGCGTCCTGGGATAGAACTTTGGCGAAAGTCTCGCCCCTCCCCCGATTGTGGCTGCACCCATTTCATTGGATGAAAATAAAAATAAAAAAAATCATTGGATGATTGGACAAACCGTTATCTCCTCCGTCACGCGCAGCCTGAGGTCTATTTTGGGCCTATCTGTAATCTTCTCCCAATCGCCTCTCTTGTACTAGCTGATGCAGCCAGTCAGCGACGGCGTCAATGAAATTTCGAGGCAAGTGCGGTACACGCTGGACGTAAAAGGGACGTGATTGCCACTGGTGGAAAACCCATGGCCACTTGTAGGACACCAAAGGCCGCAAGTGCCTCTCTATGGGCCTCTCTGCACTACTCTCGAAATGTGCAAAATGAGAGTGAATCTTCCCCTAGAATATGGAAAGATACACGGCCATGATCTTTGTCTTTTGTGCATGTCGAGAGTAGTGCAGCGAGGCCCTATATACTGTGACTCAGGAACGTCCATTTGGCCAAAAAATATGGACTTTTTTTATTTTCTTTTTTGAAACCGAGAAATTTGGCTGAAAACTGGTCCTATTTTTTGGTTGGCTCCTTCGGGTCCCGCGTTCTTAAGCCAGACCCCTTGGATGTATGTGGACTTTGGCTGAGACCAGATACATCCAGCCGGTCAGACCTTTTAAGAACGCGGGACCCTCAGGAGCCAAAATTTGGACCTTTATGTGGACTTTATGGAGACCAGATACATCCAGTGGGTCAGGCGTTTTTAAGAACGCCCGACCCTCAGGGGCACCGTTCCACTAGCAACCGAGTAAGGTTTATTGTTTATTGTCGCACGGCGACACCTGTGGGACGTCCGGGGGACATCCACCAGCCGTTGCTGCATCGGAATCCGAGGGTAGCAAAATAAAGATGTTTGTATATTTAAAATTTGTGTTTTAATTTACTTTTTCTTGTTTTTTTTTTTTGGTGAATAACAGGATGTGGGGAAAAGAAATACCAAGTCTGTTTTTGATTGGTGGTTGTCGAAAACAAAAAAAAAAATCAAGTACACTAAGTCGTTCGTATTGACCGTGCTTTCTTTTCCGGTCAATAGAAAGCCCCTCGAGTACTTTATTACTTTATTTCTTTCTCAAAATATAAGGACTTCAGGCTTGAACATGGGAACCGTCACAGGAGGCAGTCCCGTCGGGCACACTAAGGGACTCCACTCCCTCTCTGTGGTACGTCAGACTCGGACTGCAATCGTCACCCTCAGGCAATAAAGAAAGATGGAAGAAGTGAATCTGGCAACGTTCTGCGACGGATACATTCATCCACTGTCCATTCTACCCTTCAAGAAGATGGCACAGCCTTTTGCAGCACTTCCAAAGGTCGGGCTCGTCCCCACCTTGGGACTTGAGAAGTCACCACTTTAATTTTCTTTTTTCTCTTTTTTTCGTTTTTCTGGAGTGTCGCAGGCGTCGCACTAGGCCATGACTCGTGTGCTAGTGGAACCGTGCTCCTGGAGCCAAAAATTGGGACCTGTTAGGAGCCACCAAACATTTGGACCTGTTTTCTTTTTCTTTTTTTTTTCTTTTTTTTTTCTTTTTTTTTCCTTTTTTTTTTCTTTTTTTTTCTTTTTTTTTTATTCGCATAAATTTGGACCTGTTTTCCGTTTTCAAATTACTCAGTTTCAATGTCGTTCCAAAAAAATAAAAATAAAAAAATAAAATAAAAATGTCCATTCTGTTCTGACGTCATGGCAGTTCAGGGCACATGTTGAGGCAAGCGGGGTACACGCCTGCAAGGACAAGGACAAGGGGCGTGATTGCCATGCCACTGCTGGGAAACCAAAGGGGACAAGTGCCTCTCTCTACTTTCTGCCTACCGTCTTCAACCGAATAGAACGCCCTGTCATTATCGCTGCATCTAGATAGAAAAGTACCCCAGATACGGCTATAATGACCGGGCGTTCTATTCGGTTGAAGACGGTAGGGCAACATGCTCACGGTACAATGACTTTCCTAAATGTACCTGTGAGCGAGGGGCCCTACCGTAGGGGACATCTGCCGTCTCTCCCCGAGCACAACGTACCCTCATTTTTTGGACGCCTTAGACCGGAAAGATCCCTTGTACACATTCGTTATCGGGGTGCGTTGTATTCGGGGGTAAATTGGTAGGCTGGAAATTCCGAGGTGCTATTTTGACATCCAGGCAGGAAAGTCGAAGTGCTCTTGTGGTCCGTACTGGACCTAAGAGGGGGGAGGGGGGGGGGGAGGAGGGGGGGGGGGGGGGGGGGGGGGGGGGGGGGGCAGGGGGAGAGGGGGGCGGGGGTTCGTCTGGCTGCTGCCATCTACCGGATGGAGGCACGGCACCACACGCCTGCCGTAGGGACATGGGAGCAATGATTTTCTTTCGGCCTTCGTTTCCTAAAGTGTGGGGGTTTCTTTCACCGTCATGTAAGCAGGAACCTGCACTGCAACAGTTATGTATTCCTGTGCTGAGTGTGCACGAACCTGCACTGTTATGATGTTAATATTACTGTGCTGAGTGTGCTCTAGTCATCTGCTCGGGCTGGGAGTGGGAGTGGGGGGAGAGGGAGTGGGAGTGGGACGAAGGGGGCCAGACGTTCTATAAAAAAAGGGTCACCGTCTCGTTGCGACACGATTGTTGTAGTAGGAGGGGGGCGGGGGGGGGAGAGAAGGATCGTGGAGAGGGTTCTCTTTCCATACGTACGTATTCTCCTTGTTTGTCAATGACTTGCTGCTTGAGTCGACATCCTTCATATTATCACTGCTTGGCTGCCGGCTTGCTCGACATTATTCGTTGATATCTCTGCTTGGCTCGCGGCTTGCTCCGAGTCGATATCACCTCGTGGATATCACTGCTTGCCTGGCGGCTTGCTCGATATCACCTCGTGGATATTACTGCTTGACTGGCGGCCTGCTCGATATCACGTTCGTTGATATCATTCATTGCAGCTTTCGCTTGCGAGCGAAGATGGCATCTCGGGGGCTCGCATTCTTACTGGTGGTGTGTTTGATGCTGCAAGGTGTTTCGGCCTGGCCGGTTGCGCAGAACGGTGACACTGGAAGCACTGTGGTCGCCGTGCAGGACTTGCTGAAGGTAACACTCGTACAGAACTTGAAAATTGAAATACCAACGGGCCTACCTTCTTCCCCCGAATACAACGGACGGTCTTTATAGATGTATTTGAGGGATCTTTCAGTCTAGATATTGAAAAAAGGCGAGGCCAAGTTTTGCTCTGAGTCTGTGAAGAAGAAGAAGAAGAAAGAAGAAGAAGACGAAGAAGATGAAAGAAGAAAGAAGAAGAAGAAGAAGAATTTGAAAAAAAGGCGCTTGTGGAAAAGACGCGACAACTACCGGAAAATGACACATGTGCGGAGAGAGAGAGAGAGAGAGAGAGAGAGAGAGAGAGAGAGAGAGAGAGAGAGAGAGAGAGAGAGAGAGAGAGAGATGCCGAACACCTTTGGAGTGGGGATTAGCGGGCGAGTTCGTGAGAAACCGATCTGCAGGCACTCTGTCAAAGCGCTGTGAAGTTGGAGTTGTAGGAATAAGTGTGTCACTGTGTGTGTGACTAAGGTTGGATTTGACTCATGCGTGCTCATCGTGGTGGCAATGTCAAACAACACGTTATATGTGCCTTGGTTGTTGATGTTCAATTCAAAAAAAAAGCTAATTCCAACTCCAAAGCACATTCATTCAATTTGAATGGTAATGGTACTAATGGTAATGGTACACCTGCAGCGCTTCAGACCGTCGTCAGCCATATAATTAATATGTGTGATGATCATTAGTACGAGATGAAGTCGCTTTTATTATTCTTATTGATTTAGAAAGAACACAGTGACTCCTTTATTTACGAAGAGCTTGTAAAATGCTGTGTGTGTTTTCTTGGCTCAATTTTCAATGTCTCATCCATGATCCCCCCCCTTACCTCGTGATAACCCCTCCATCCCCCTCCCTCCCCCTCCCAACCTCATGAATTTTATTTATTTATTTTTTTCTCTCCTTATTATTTTTATTTTTTTTCTTGTTTTAAAATCTGGACCATTTCTCGATTAATGCGTCTCATCCTTGCGCAGGGGCCGTGCTAATCTTTATTCTCTGTATCGATTCCAATTTTAACGGATGTCCCGAAGGACACCTCATAAATTTCCGTCACCATCTCGATCTACTTTTCTTTTTTTCTTTTTTCTTTTTTTCTTCCCTTTCGTTATACGCACTCACTGAGCCCCGTGGTCTCTAGCCTTCCCTTTTGTTTTTCCCAAATGCAATCAGACTCGTGCTCAAACACACTTTTCATGCATGTAAACAGCAACGCAGCAAACTGGCGACATGCGCCCACACAAAACTCAGAGATATGGCTTCCAGATACGAGTTCACTCTCAACTGGCTATGGCGACTTCAGCGCCCAAACAACTCACTGTTTACACACACCGGATCACCCTGGATATCCCATACACGTCACTCTGAACACTCGATCACACACACACCTCCTACTAACTACAGCTATGGCAGCTATGGTTGCCTCTAATCCTATCAGCTATACTAACTCCTCCTCTCTCGCCCACTGCGTCCTCCGGGCTCATCTGCAGACCTCCTTGCACAAGTCGCTGTGGCAGCGCTTCCGCATGGCTCACGCAGGAATGAATGAAAGGCTGGGCGCTGCCTCTTGATTTATACTTCAGAAACTCGTTGGTCTGCCCTTTGCCATCGGCCCATGGTGCTCACAGTCCCCCCGTGGTACTCGTTGGTCTGCCCTTTGCCATCGGCCCATGGTGCTCACAGTCCCCCCGTGGTACTTGCTGGACCGGACTGGGACTGACTGGACCTTCCGCTGTCTGACTGTGGACTCACCGCTATCCTACCGACGTTGTACTGCTATTGCACTGCAGTTTAGTCCACCACTTGCCTCDCCACTTGACCACTTGCCCACTTGCCTACCTTCTAGAAGGTCTACAGCTAAGCTTTCGGAACTCACTAAGACTTCTACGCCATAGACCTACAGATCGAACCCCTGCTGCCTATGGACCTACGACAGACCTACCAACTGGCTACGAATACACAGGTCACAGGATTCAACTGTCGGGGTCTACACAGATACTGTACATGGGTAGGGTGAGGTCTAGGGATCGAACCCTGGGTCTGCATCCGCTACTGCTAAAACGTGAAAACCGTTTCACAATCCATTCCCGATCCATTCCCAATCATTCTTCACGGCATCTACCAATTGCGTTTTTTCCCCTTTTCCGGAAGCAAAATAGTGTTCCTCCTTTTTTGGGCCGTGGTCATTAGCATATCACGCCGAAGAGGCCGTGGTCGTTTCAGTTCTTGTTTAGGTGTACTGCAACGCACAATTTTTTTGTTATTATTATTATTAATGTTTTTTACGACGCTTAATATAAATAACATATGTGTTCCTCTTTTTTTTCTTTTCTTTTCTTTTTTTTCTTTTTTTTTTGTCGTTTTTTCTTGGTACTCTTTGAAATACGCGTCCGTATTTCACTTTTGTGTTGCATTGTTCAAAGAACCCCTTTTTTTTTTTTTTTTTTTTTTTTTTTTTTTTTTTTTTTTTTTTTTTTTTTTTTTTTTTTTTTTTTTTTTTTTTTTTTTTTTTTTTTTTTGCAAGAATGCTTGGGTGCGTTGTTCATATAACTTCTCTTTTTCTTTCCCCGAAAATTTTCAATTGACTTCTAGGCACGCGGCTACTCACTTGCTGCCGACGGGATGTTCGGACCAATTACCGAGGGGAAAGTCAAGGCCTTCCAAAGTGCAAATGGACTTGACCCCGACGGAATCGTGGGTCGGTTGACGTGGCCCAAGCTCATCTTACAAGTGCAATTTGGTGACGAAGGGGCTGCAGTCCATGCTGTCCAGGTAGGATGAACCTACTACTCACCCTCTCCCTTGCCCCTTTGAACCCTCCCCCGCCTGCTGTCCATGCTGTGTCCCAAATCCAGTCCTTCCCAGTCCTGTTCAGTTTTCACCCCTTTGTGTCCACATATATATATATGTTTGTGACGATATATATATATGTTTGTGACGATATATATATTCTATTTGACGATATATATATATATATATATGTTGTCCTCTTCTCTCTCTCTGCCTACGGTTTACCGGGCAGTTCTGTTTGTGACGATATATATATATATATATATATATACTCCGACGAAACAGTTTGTCACAGCCCCTCGTTTGTTGTCCTCTTCTCCCTCTCTGCCTACG